TCCCACTTTACTTCTTTGCAATATGCTGTCCTTTGCACTTACCACATGACTAACTGCTTCTCATCCTTCAAATGTCAGCTTACATGTTAGCTTAAGGCCTTAGAGAGGCCTTTCACAGCCACCTCATTTAAAGTGGATTCCCAAAATAATAAAAAATAAAAAAAAAATAAAGTGGATTCCCTGTTACCCTCTGTGCCAGATGCTTGCCTGCTTGCTTTTTTCCTTCCTAGCATTTATTACACTTTAAAATTACTTTTATTTGACTTTCTGCCCATTTAGAAGTAACTCAAAAGCAGAGACTATATCTGCCGCATTCACCACTTTATTCCCAGCACCTAGCACACAGTAGATACTCGGGACATACTTATTGAATGAATAAATGACCAACGATTAGCCTGGAGTAAAGATTTGCAACATACCTAGTAAAGGATTATATCCACAATATATAAAGAACTCCTTCAAATCAATAAAACAAGATAGCAGCCCAATTAGAAAAAAAATGAGTGGAGAATATACATATGCAATTGACAGAGAAAGAAATCTACATATGTTGAATGATTCAATAGGTCAGGTTATCCATATATAGTATTTCTGAGCTTCCCAGCAACTCTGCAAAACAAGGATAGATATAAAGAAATAGACTTAGTGAAGTTAAGTTGCCCAAAAGCAAGTTGTAACAATGGAGCCTAGATTTGAATTCAAGTATGCCACCAAACACAGTCCTTTCCACTGAATCTTGGTGAGTCTCACATAGGCTCAACTCCCTTTCAAGAAAAGAAATTGAGATGCCCTAAAAATTAAGATGAAAAAGAAATAATCCAATAGAAAAAGAGGCAAAAGTGCAGCCCCGGTAGCTCGGGGCCACCTTCGGCCCGGGGTGTGATCCTAGGGACCTGGGATCGAGTCCCGCATCGGGCTCCCTGCTGGAGCCTGCTTCTCCCTCTGCCTGTATCTGTGCCTCTCTCTCTCTCTCTGTCTCTCTCTCTCTCTCTCTCTCTGTCTCTCTCATGAATAAATAAATAAAATCTTTTTTTTAAAAAAAAAGAGGCAAAAATTTTAGATAGCTAATAGATAGATACAAATGGCCCTTAAAAATAAGAAATGCTTGGGATCCCTGTGTGGCTCAACGGTTTGGTGCCTGCCTTTGGCCCAGGGTGTAATTCTGGAGACCTGGGATTGAGTCCCACATCGGGCTCCCTGCATGGAGCCCGCCTCTCTCTCTCTCTCTCTCTCTCTCTCTCTCTTTCTCTCATGAATAAATGAATAAAATCTTTTTTAAAAAATTAAGAAATGCTCAATCCTGCCCATATTAAGAAAAAGGGAAATTAAATCACCCAAGAAACCACTTCTCACCAACCAGATAGACCTCAACAACAGAATTTACTGACAAGGCTATCAGGAAAAAAAATTCTCATATCCTATCACTGGGAATGCAAACATAAGTCTGATGCAGGGAAACTCAGCAGTATCTTTCAAAATTATAGATGCTTTTTTCTCTCGACCCAGTGAACTCACTACTAGGAATACAACCCAAAGCTACAATGGCAGTAAAAGGATATAAGCCAAGGCTGTTCATCACAGTGCTCTTTATGGTTTAAAAAGGAGGGGAGGGGTGCCTAGGTGGCTCACTCATTTAAGTGTCTGCCTTTGGCTCAGATAATGATCCCAGGGTCCTGGGATCAAGTCTTGCATCAGTCTCTCTGATCAGTGAGGAGTCTGTTTCTCTCTCTCCCTCTACCCCCACCTCTGTTTATGCTCTCTCTCTCTTAAATAAATAAAATCTTTTTTAAAGATTTTTTTTAAAAAAGATTTTATTTATTTATTCATGAGAGGCAGAGAGAGAGAGAGAGAAGGCAGAGACACAGGCAGAGGGAGAAGCAGGCTCCAGCAGGGAGCCCGTGGGACTCCATCCCGGGGCTCCAGGATCAGGCCCTGAGCTGAAGGCAGATGCTCAACTACTGAGCCACCCAGGGGTCCCAAATAAAACCTTTTAAATAAAGAGAAACAATTCAGATATCTATCAGCAGCCTGGTTGATCTATATATGAACTACTCTGCAGATGAAGGTAAAATAAGGCATATTTGGAAACACTGTTACTGGAGTGATCTCCTGGTTATGTTATGAAGTGAGAAAAGCAAGGTGGAAACAGTGTGCATAATGAAAGAGACCTAAGGGAAGGAGCACAAGGGGCTTTTAGAGTACTGGTAATGTTCTATTTGTTGACTTGAATGGTGGTGGTATGGGTTCTTCCCTTTGTGATAACTCATAAAGCTGGGCAGTTACATGCACTTTTCTGTAAACATGTCATACTTCCCCCAAAAAAACAGTTTTAAAATGAAAAAATTGTAATCTCTGAAAATTCTTGGCCAGTGTGTGTGTGTGTGTGTACGAGAGAGAGAGAGAGAGAGAGAGAGAGAGAGAGAGAGAGAGAGAGAGAGAGAGAATGAGAGAACAACCAAATGAACAAACCAACCAATTTGTTTGGACCCAGATTTAAACAAGCAGCAATTTTTTTTTAAGATTTTATTTATTTATTCATGAGAGACACACAGAGGCAGAGACATAGGCAGAGGGAGAAGCAGGCTCCCTGAATCTGATGCTGGACTCGACTGGATCCCAGGACACCGAGATCATGACCTGAGCCAAAGGCAGACGCTCAATCACTGAGCCACCCAGGTGCCCTAAGCCATTTGATTATTACACAGCTCCCAGAAATCCAGAATAAACTCAGCAGGTTTTCCATCTTAACATTTAAACAGATTTTCAGAAATGCATCCGCGTGGCTGGAACACCCTGCACAAAGAACTCAAAAGCATTGGTTCAGTCATTCATTCAACAAACAGTGACTGAGCACCCACTTTGGGCCAGGCCTTGTTCTAGGTACTGAGTGATACAGCCACAAATGGGACAGGCCAGTGCATTCTCCCGGAGGTTTTTAGTTGTATCTCATAGTAGCACTTGTTTTGCTTTGTGCAATGAATGTAAGGATGAATATTAAGATTATAAAATTACAAAGCACCAAATTCCCAATACTTCCGCAGAATCTGCTCACTCGTCCCTCCTTTCTCTGCCTATACCCTGATCTTGTCCATCCTTGTCTACTAGCTGATCCACTGCAGCAGCCTCCTCCTTGGTCTCCCTCCTCTCAGGGCTGTTCCCACACTCTGTTTCCCATGTGCAGACAAGGTGATTCCATGTTAGATCACATCCCTTCTTTGTTCAAGAATCTCCCATAGCTCCATCTCACTTGGAGTAAAAGCCAAAGTCCTTTCACTGGCACCCAAGATCCTCACACAATTTCCCTTGTTACCTCCGGGCTCTCATCTCTTTCTGCTCTGCTTGCAAACTCTGCCCCAACCACACCCCTCACTGCTTCTCCAACTCTCCATACCATCCCCGCCCCAGGACCTTTGCACCTACAATCCTCCATACCTAGACCTCTCTTCCCCCAGATAGGTGCATGCCTCACTCCTCATCCCTTTTAACTCTTTGCTCAAATCCCTGGATGCATTCCTTGATGCCTGATTAAGAAATGTCACCCCTCCTCCAACTGTCCTATCTTCCTTTCCTCCTGTTATTTTCTCCAAAGTGATGAAGTTTTGGAATTATAGGTGAGGTTTGGTGGGGTGAAGTCCGGAGCCGACCACCAAGAAAGAATTCTTGAGACATCGTTGGTGCAAAATGATGGTTTTATTGAAGTATGGGGGCAGGACCCAGGGCTGCTGCCTTGGGCCTGGGAGGGGTGGCTGATCTGATTATATACCCGGGAGCCAGGAGGGGTTTGAGGATAGCACACTCTCTCAGGAATTTCGGAAGCAAGGTTTCCAGCACCTTGAGGGGGTAGCTATTGTTGGTAAAAGGGCACTTATTACCGTCTAATAAAACCTGAGTCATGAGGCCCTTCAGATGTATGTCGGTGGGCCACGTGCTTGGGGGATGATTGCCAACGTGTATCTTGGAGACTCAGAAATGAAGGAAATTTCTTTTTCTTTTTTAAATTTTATTTATTTATTCATGAGACACACAGAGAGAGAGAGAGGCAGAGGGAGAAGCAGGCTCCATGCAAGGAACCTGATGTGGGACTCGATCTCCCGTCTCCAGGATCACGCCCTGGGCGAAGGCAGGCGCTAAACCGCTGAGCCACCCAGGGATCCCAGAGATAAAGGAAATTTCTAAAGGAATTTTTTTATGTTAAAGTAGACTCACAGGATCCTGGGGGTCAGGCTAAGATTGCCTTTTGCCCTTAACAAAGTATTAACATCGAGGCAGTTGAGTCCATAGAGGACTGTCCCTCTGCCTGTCTCAAGGACTTGTCAATGTGCTGCCCTGGGCCGGTGCTTTGTCCTCAGCTAGTCCTCTGTTCCTCCATCAAAAGCACTTTTATTGCCTTCTAATAACTTAGCTGGTGTCTGTTCCTCCCCCTAGAAGATGAACTCCGGGGATCCCTGGGTGGCCCAGCAGTTGAGCGTCCGCCTTCGGCCCAGGGCGTGATCCTGGGGTCGCTGGATCGAGTCCCGCGTCGGGCTCCGTGCATGGAGCCTGCTTCTCCCCTGCCTGTGCCTCTGCCTCTCTCTCTCTCCGTGTCTATCATGAATAAATAAATAAATCTTAATAAATAAATAAATAAATAAATAAATAAATAAATAAATAAATAAATAAATACTTAATCGACTGCATATGTGTGAGCCCAGAATCGTCCGTGTTCGTCGGGTGGAAATGGGTCAGGGACAGTTTTCGGGTGTAGACCTTAGGAAGTTATTCACAGAGCAGAGGGGCAGCAGAGAGCGCGGGTGACGAGCCCCGGCTCCGCGGAGGATCGCACGCCCAAGAGAAGGCGGGAAGCGCGCTCAGCGTCGCGAGGGACGCGCCTAAGGCCGCCCACGGGGGCGGCGCCCTGAGAGGCTTGCGAAGCCCCGCCCACAGCGCGCGCGCGGGGCTCCGGACGCGGAAGGAGCTCCGAGGGGCGGGGCTGCGAGGTTGCGTCACGCGCCGTGCGTCGCCGCGCGTGCGCTCCTTTCCACGTGCGAAAGCACCAGACTCGTGTAGTCCCGGCCGCCGCGGAGTCCTGAGCCGCGGGGCTGAGCTCTCGCCATGAAGCCAGGTGCAGGCCGGGGTTGAGGGCCGGGGTCGGGGACTGGGGGCCGGCGGGAGCCCGAGGGGCGGGGCCCGGGCCTAGGGGCAGGGGATCCGGTCGCTAGTGGGGAGGGGGTCCTGGTTCCGGTCGCCCGCGGCGGTGGCGAGGGGGTCTTGGCTCCTCCCTGTGAAGCGACGCTGAGCCCGGGGTGCGGGTTCCTGGTTTGGGGGTGTGTGGCTGGCTTCGGAGGTCACGGTCGTGAGTCGAGGGTCCTGGGTTTGGAAGGGGGTTCCTGAGCTAGGATTCGACTCCCTGAGGCCGTCATTAGGGGTCTTGGTTATTGGGCTGGGGGTGGCAGTCGGGACAACCGACCCAGAGTCTGGATCCAGGCGTCTGGGGTCTTGGATCTCTGGCTGCGGGATTTGGGGATTATGTGTTGGCTCGGAGGTGAGTCCCGATTTGGGGTCGGGGAGAAGCCCCCTTTGCTTCCCGTATCGCCGCAACCAGAGCCCCCTTAGCTCCCAGACCAGCTTCTCAGGGAGGGCCGTAGTGAATGAGGACTCCCGGCTTGGGAGTGTGTGGCCCTTTCTGCCCCACTTTCCCGCTCTCTACTCTCCCGAGGGGCGGGTGTCTGAGGTGTGAGTGATCGTGATGCTCAACTCGCGGTGAGATGAACCTTCACGAGCCCAAGACGGGCTTAGCGTGGAGTGGGGGAGGGAGATAGTCACAGGACGCGTGAGTGATTTTATTCATTTGATTTTCCCCGGGATTCTGGTGAACCCACCCCGCCTCCCCCGTTGGTAGAGGGCTGGCTTTGACGGAAGAAAGATCTCAGTTCAAAACTTCAGCACTAGCTTTGGTTCTTAAGTTACAGCGTGACCTGGGGCAAGTGGCTTTACTTCTCTGTTTTCTCGTTTGTAAAATGGCGCCCAGTTATAATTTAGCAAGATCACGTTAAGAAAAAGTACCATATTGTGGTAATCTCTTTGCAATAGATTAAGTGTACAAATAAATCAACAGGTTGGCATATGTGATGTTATATATACATGTCAGTTATAGTTCAATAAGGCCGAGGGGGAAAAGCACAGGACTTGACATAACAGTATTTGTCTCCACCTGTTATCTTTATCATTCTTCTCAAGAGGCACAAAATTAGGGTCTTTCTTCCTGGTGACTTGGGGCTTCCTAAATCAGGCAGTGCCCCTCCCCACAACTTGCTTCGCTAGAGTTTGGGGAAATCTTCCACTGTGACCCAGAAGGTCTGTTTCCCAGTACAGGTCTTCGTTTTCCTTCCTTTTTCTCCCACCCTCCCTGCATGTGTGGAGAGATGGGGTCATCTGGTGGAGGGGGAGGGTGGGTTTCTTCAGGATTTGGAGACCTGATGACCTGATGAAATGATGGGCGGGGAGGCAATGCTGGACTGTGTCTCTCCATCATACCCCGGCATGCCTGCAGGCACCCTACAATCTGATTCCCCCAGGAATGGAGGATATACCTTCCGCCCAACCATTCCCTCATTGTGTTAGGATATGAAGTTGCAGAAGTTAAGAGTCAGCTCTTCACTAAGGGTTTGAGTCTGACAGAGAAGAAGCCCTGGGGAGATTTTGAACAGGGACAGAATGCTGTCTGATTGACACATTTAAAAGGATCCTTCTTGGTTTTTTATGTAAAGGGCATCAGGGGAGCACAAGTGGAAGCAGGTGCATTCGCAGGAAACTTGTGGTGATTTAGTAGGAGATGATGTGGCTTGGGCCAGGGTGGTATTAGTGGGCCTGCCTGACAAATTGTCACACTTTGGAAATATATTTTGCACATAAAGCCGACAGCTTGTATGTGGGTATAAGAGAAATCAAGGATACCCCAGGGTGTGGACACATGTACCTGGAAGGATGGAGTGTCCGTTTTTGAGATGGGAAGGTTCTAGGAGGAGAGCAGGGTCTAAACCTGGGGGTCTGTGGAACTTCCTCCCAAAACTTCTGGAAATGTGTGTGCAAACGTGTGTTTTCCTGAGGAGTCGGTACTTCTGGTACATTTTTGTAAGCTCCCCTGGACCTGAAATGAATAGATATGTTTTGAGTACCTAGAACTGCAAGTTGACACTTGTGCTCCCAGGTCCCCTAGCTATGCCCACACTTCTCAGGTCTCTGTTCCATCAGGCCTGGGATGAGAGTCCCTTCAGCCTAGTGGTTTCTCCCGTAAGTGGAAGGGCAGGGGGACTCTCCCTCCCCTCATTAAAATACTCCTATTCAAACTGTGTGCCAGGCAGTGTGTTGAGGGAAGTGCTTTGTGTGTATTAAGACATTTTTTCCTACTCTGTATGGTTATCACCATATCTCTGTCTTACAGATAAAGTTTTCAGGATTCCCATGAACCTTCCCTACTCTCTAGGGCCGTGAGTGAGTGGCATCTCCATCGCCCTGTACAGGACACATGAACTGATTGAGGGGCGGGGACCGGGGGTCCCTGAATGAACAGAGAGGGGGCTTCCCCCGCCTGGGGCAGAACCCAGGGATTTAAGAGTCATCAGCAGACAGCTCACTTAATATTTATTGAGCCCACACTTTGTGCCAAATGTTGTGCATGGTGCTGGGGATGCAGAGTGACCAAAAGTATTAAAACATCCCTGTCCCTTGGGACCTTGATGCTGGTGGGGAAGTCAGGCAGTGATAAAGTAAAAAGTGCCATGTGTGATGCTTGATAGGAAGAAGCTAAAGGTAGGGAGCCCCAAGGCCCTTCTCAGGAAAGAATGTTTCATCAGAGAGCTGAGTGCAACGAAGAAGTGGGTGAGCCCAGCTAATGTGTGCAGGAAGGACAGCAGGTATGAAGGGCTTAGAAGCTGGAGAGTGGGATCCCTGGGTGGCGCAGCGGTTTGGCGCCTGCCTTTGGCCCAGGGCACGATCCTGGAGACCCAGGATTGAATCCCACGTCGGGCTCCCGGTGCATGGAGCCTGCTTCTCCCTCTGCCTGTGTCTCTGCCTCTCTCTCTCTCTGTGTGTGTATGTGACTATCATAAATAAATAAAAATTAAAAAAAAAAAAAGAAGAAGCTGGAGAGTGAGTTGAGGAGGAAGGGTGCAAGGCCCAGAACAGAAAGTGTGAGGGCACAAAAGTCAGCGACATTGTATGGTGGTTCTTAGTTCAGGCTGCACATTTCAGATTGCCTGGGGAACCTTAAAAAGCCCAATGCTCAGGCCCCTACACCTAAATCGGGATCTCTAGGTTCCAGGGATTACCCAAAGGTGAGAGCCACTGATTTCAGGCTTTGGAAGCCAGAGACAGGAATTTCAGTTGCATTTTCAACATGATGGAAAGCCATTGGAAGGGATTTAGGCAAGGGGATCAAGAGATCCAATTTTGTGGTTTGGAGAAGGTCCATCTGTAGCTGCCCTGTGAGCAGGAGCCTGTAGAGGGAGTAAAGGCGACTCTTCAGGAATTCTGAAACTTAATTTTTAGTACTTAAATTAGGAATAATGTTTAAAAGCTCTACATTTTCGTCTTTTTAAAAAAAGTTTTTTTCTTAAAGATTTTATTTATTGGGCAGCCCTGGTGGCCCGGCGATTTGGTACCGCCTTCGGCCCGGGATGTGATCCTGGAGCCCTGGGATCGAGTTCCGCGTCGGGCTCCCTGCATGGAGCCTGCTTCTCTCCCTCTGCCTCTCTCTCTCTGTCTGTCATGAGTAAATAAGTAAATCTTTAAAAAAAAAATTTTTTTTTTTTATTTGAGAGAGAGCGAGTGCACAGGAAGGAGGTGGGCAGAGGCAGAGGGATAAGCAGGCTCTCCTCCCCTCTGAGCAGGGGAGCAGGGAGCCTGATGCGGGGGCCCATCCCAGGACCTCGAGATCATGACCTGAGCTGAAGATAGCTGCTTAACCAACTGAGCCCCCCAGGCCGGGCGCCTGCGTATTTTCATCTTTAACGCCTTTACAGTGTGTGAAGATTTCATAGTGCGCAGATATAACGCACCTTTACAAAAAACTCTAGCAAGTTTACTATTGAGTAGTTGACATCAGGTGAGGTCATTTTAGAGCATCCCTAATTGTCACACTATTGTTTTGTAACTTGTGCTTTGCCCAAAGTAGCTCAGAGCTTAGGACACTGGCGCAGAAAAGTCAGATAGTCAATCTGTTAGCACCAGGAGAATGCCATCTGCTTCTGCCGTCATTACCTGCTCAGTGCAGCGCATGTTTGCTCTGACCCGAGGTGATGAAAATCAAGTCTCCCTGAATCTTTTTTTTTGCCCCCCTTCAGATTTCAGGCCAGTTAACAAGCCCTAAATTGCTTATGTGCTATTGCCCATCCATAAAGGACAACTCGACTTTTTTCTTGTTTTTTTTCTCCCTCTGAGCTGAGAGAGACCTCTGCAAGTTTGCAGGAAGGTCAGTGGGGTAGCAAGAAAGACATCATGGCTAACTCCCCTCTGTTTAGGGGTTGGCCTTTTTCCTCCAGACTGAAGTTCAGGATTGGGAGGGCACCGACATGGTTTCAGGGTCTGGGGGCCCTTCCTGCCACGATGCATGCACAGGTTTCAGACTAACACTGAAAATAGAGTGGATTCTTCAAACCTCCTATCTGATCAACAAAAGCAGCATGTTGACAGTAACCTACATCTACCTGGGTATCCCTCCCCTACCTGAATCTTGTTCATATTTCCCTCTCAATCCCCAGTATTATCAGCTTTGCATTTATTGTTCCCTTTCCTCTTTTGGGGGGTGGCATGGGGCAGGGTTACCATGTATATCAACACAGCACAACGTTGTTTAATTTTAGCTGTTGCTGAGCCTTATGACCAATACTGTGTTGGACATGGTCTTCGAGTTGCTTTTTCACTTAACATGACTCTTAAGTTTGTTGGTTTTTTGGGTTTTTTTAAGATTTTATTTATTCATGAAAGACACAGAGAGAGAGGCAAAGACACAGGCAGAGGGAGAAGCAGGCTCCCTGCGAGGAGCCCGATGCGGAACTTGATCCCAGGACCTTGGGGTCACAACCTGAGCCAAAGGCAGGTGCTCAACCACTGAGCCACCCAGGCGCCCCATGACTCTAATAAGATTTATCTACCTGTTGTAATTATATAGATCCTCGTCACTGGTGCTTATGAATACTCCCCATTTCATTTGCCCATTCTGCCAGTGGACATCTGCATTGGTCCTGATTTTTCTGCGTGGAATTAAGAGACATAACTTCTCAAACTTAATTGCCCCAATTCCTCTTTCTGTTGCCACTACAGGTTTCAGCCCCCGCGGGGGCGGCTTCGGTGGCCGAGGGGGCTTCGGTGGCCGAGGGGGCTTCGGTGACCGCGGTGGTCGTGGTGGAGGCCGAGGAGGCTTTGGTGGGGGCAGAGGTCGTGGTGGAGGCTTTAGGGGCCGTGGCCGAGGAGGAGGAGGAGGAGGAGGACGAGGTGGTGAGTGACATTGGGGGTGGGTGGGAGGTGGGATATGATCAGGAGGCTTTCCCTGGGCTTGGGGAGGGAAGAGATCATGGGATCTCCCTCTCTCACTTCATCTCTGCCTTGTAGGTGGAGGTTTCCAGTCTGGCGGCAACCGGGGTCGTGGTCGGGGAGGGAAGAGAGGAAACCAGTCGGGGAAAAATGTGATGGTGGAACCTCATCGGCATGAGGGTGAGTGGGGAGGGTGCAGAGCTGCTGAGGGTAGGGTGCAGCCCAGAGTCTTCACCCTGCGCTGGTCTCCTCACTTAGGTGTCTTCATTTGTCGAGGAAAGGAAGATGCGCTTGTCACCAAGAATCTGGTCCCTGGGGAATCAGTTTACGGAGAGAAGAGAGTATCGATTTCGGTGAGACCAGGGCCCCAACTGACAGGGTAGCCAGCGGTCTGGTCTCCCTACCCCCACCATGCATCCTACACATGCCAGCTAGGGAGTCACCTTTTTCTTTTTTTTTTTTTCCTTTTTTTAAGATTTTATTTATTCATTCATGAGAGACATAGAGAGAAAGGTAGAGAGAAGGGGGAGTGGAAAGGCAGAGACACAGGCAGAGGGAGAAGCAGGCTCCATGCAGGGAGCCTGATATGGGACTCGATCCCGGGTCTCCAGGATCATGCCCGGGGCTGAAGGCAGCGCTAAACCGCTAAGCCACCCGGGCTGCCCGGGTGTCATCTTAATACATAAGTCAGATCCCCATTGCCTTCCGGTTCAAGTTCCAGGTCCTCAGTGTGGCCCAGAAGACCCTGCACATTCCAGCTCCCCCTCCCCGCCCGTGCCCCCACCCCTGCCCCAGACCTAGAGTCTTCTAGCCATACGGGTCTCCTTGCTCTTCCCTCTGTCTTGAATACTCCTCCTCTCCAGCTGTGTATATGTCTGGTGCCTTTCATCACCAGCATCTCTGGTCAACGTCACCTTGTGTTTCTCACAAGGCCACCTTGTGCCACCCAGTCCATGAAAAGCAGCCTACCCTCTGCTCTATTATCCCACATCACCTTTATGATGAGGCACACTCCTGCTCAGGGCTTTTTGCTGCCTTTCCTGCTGCCTAGAATGTGCTTCCCCAGGTGACTTGCATGGCCCCCACCTCCTTCGGGTCTGCATATGTCTCCTAGGCACTTCCCTGGCCACCCTGCCTCATTTTCACCTGTTCCTCAGCCCCCTCCCCCTACTGTATGTCCTTTCCTGGCTTGATCTTTTCTCCTTAGCAACTGTCACTGGCTTCTGTACCGTACGTGTTAGTTTGGTGTAGACTTGCTCCTTGAGGGCAGGGGTCTGTCTCATTCACTATGTAGCCTGGTATAGGGTCTGGCACAGAACGTGTTGGCACAGCAAATGTTTGTTGAATGAACACACAGGTCTTGCTGTTAACTGATTTTTATCTCTGTGTTTATTGTCTGTCCCTGCCCCTTCTACCTGAGTCATTAACCTCCATGAGAGGGCAGGTACTGCATCCATCATGGTCCCTGATGTGTGCCTGTGTTCATTTCTTGAACAATGAATGAGCGCCCTGGGCCCTAGGGCTAAGGACAGTGGGGTCTAGCAAAAAAAACCTGGCACTAGCTTCCATCCCCATCTCTCCCGGCCCAGGAAGGAGATGACAAAATCGAGTACCGTGCCTGGAACCCCTTCCGCTCCAAGCTGGCGGCAGCAATCCTGGGTGGTGTGGACCAGATCCATATCAAGCCAGGGGCCAAGGTGCTCTACCTCGGCGCTGCCTCGGGCACCACTGTCTCCCACGTCTCTGACATCGTAGGCCCGGTGAGTGGATAGAGGGTTAAGGAGGGGTGAGTAAGGGCAGGTGGTGAGGTGAAAAGGAGGCAGAGACTGCCTCTGCCAGCCTGGAGTCAGTGGGCCTGGCTGCTTCCCTGTACCATGTGGCTTGGGGCTAGGCCCTTCCTTCAGAGTGCCTGTAGTAGAAGGAGCAGCTTGAAGCATCCAGTCTCCAAAGGCTCATTTAGTCCCATTCCTAAGTTCCTGGTCTGGAGGGAAGGGACGTGGGTATTGGGGTAAGTGCAGTTAGAGGGGCCCCGGGGTCGAAGGTACAGATACCAGAGTGTTGGATTTAGTTGTCCTCTTTGAAAATGTATGCCCCCAAATCTGGTCTTGTGGTTTCTCTTAAAAGAACAGGTATTAGTTTCTGGGCCTACATTTCTGTGTCACTGTGCAGGCTCCTTGGTTAGAGGTCACCCGTGCATCTCACTTCAGGACCCCTAGCCCATCTGCATGACTTTGTAGGCTGTGTAATGTAGTGGTTTAAAACCCCAGGCTCTGGTGTGGGCATTTAACAGTGAGGTGGTTTTCAGCACATTTCTTAAACTCTCTGAGCCTCTGGAAAATAAGGTTGCTGTGAGGATACTGGTAATTCCTGTAAAGTACTTAGAGCAATGCCTAGTCCATTGTAAGTATTCTTAGCTGTTAGAACTTCATCTCTGTGCCTGGCTTCCTCATTTGAAGCCTGTACTGGGGAGACTGGACTCTCAGATCAAGCAAAGTGGGATTGAATAACCCTTGGCAACAATAAGTTGTCAAATGGTAGGGTTTTGATTCTGTGGATTTGAAGAGATGCTACATGCAGTGTTTGAGCTTAAAGTAGGTATTCCATCTAAAAAGTAGTATCAGTGTTTTTATTAATTGTTTTAGGATGGTCTAGTCTATGCAGTTGAGTTCTCCCACCGCTCTGGCCGTGACCTCATTAACTTGGCCAAGAAGAGGACCAACATTATTCCTGTTATTGAAGATGCTCGGCACCCACACAAATACCGCATGCTCATAGGTGAGGGGTCTAGGGATTGGCTCAGATTGTGTAGGCCAGGGCACTCCAGGTTTCTTGGAAGAGGTGGCCAGAGCCCTGATTCAAATGTAATCAGGATGGAGGAGCAGGCCTCCTGAGTCTGCAGGAATGAAGAGGATGAGGGGAGCCAGGTGAGGTTGTGGAGCTTGGGTGTCTGGCACCCCTGGAAGGCTAACCTTTTTTCCTTCGATCTCCTGCCCCTCCCCCTAGGCACCCCCATACTTCTGCCTACTTCTGAAACATGGTATTTTTATGCTGCCCCCCTTTAGAGCTCCTTATCATCATCTGGGGTGATTGATCATAAAAAACTGAGTGTGGCCTGGCCCGGAGGGGCCCATTGTGAATATTACTTTGGTTTTTAAAGATTAAAAAAAAACATGGAAGTACAATATAAAACGTGTTGCTACTGTTACACTCCTTATAAACCACCCTCAGAGGTAAACAATACGAACAATTTAATGCCTTTTCCCAATTTAAGAAAGTCAGTTTTCTTTTTTTTTTTTTCAGTTTTCATTATACCATTTTTTTGTTTTGTTTTATTTAATCACAGTGGCTTAAAAATACTTTGCATTACGCTGGTTTTGAGTAGTTTTTTTTCCCCATGCATTCATACCATATCCTTTAGTTTCCTTTGACAATCCTGCAGACGCTCTTGCCTGTAAGTGCTCACCTTTACATGCCTTTTTACGACGTGTCTGTCTCCCCCCCAGACCTGGGAGCATCTCGAGGGCAGGGTCCAGGTCTGACTCGTCTCTGTGTCCCCCACACCGGGCCCAGGGCTGGCCACAGAGTAGGTGGCAATCATGGTTTACAAGAGGAATGAATGAATGGTGTGACTGGGTTTTGGACCCTTCCTGGGGGTCCATTGGAGGGAAAGGGGGAATCAACGGGGGGACGTGAGACTGGAAGCAGGGAAGACTATGCCAGAAACCTTCTGGTAATGGGGCACAGGCCTCACGGGAGGAGCTGGGAATATCTGGTGGATCCAGCTTGTAAGTGCCACTTATTTCTCCCTAGCAATGGTGGACGTGATCTTTGCCGACGTGGCCCAGCCAGACCAGACCCGGATTGTAGCCCTGAATGCCCACACCTTCCTTCGTAACGGAGGACACTTTGTGATTTCCATTAAGGTGCGGGGCTTGGAGGAGTCTAAGATGGGGTGGTAGTATTTTCTCTGTAACTGCCAAGCAGCTAGTCAAAACAAGGGGGCCAGGGCCTCCATTCTCCTAGTCTAGTCTATTCCCAGGCTCTACCCTGCATTTCCCTGCCCTGTCAAATAGCACTTGGTGAAAAATGTCTACAAAACTAAAAGGCTTTGAGTTTAAATAGGCAATAGAATGTAGTGGTCAAGTCCATGAGGGCCGAGTCTGACCATTTAAGGTTTTTTGTTTTTTTGTTTTTAAAGATTTTATTTATCACGAGACACAGAGAGAGACAGAGAGAGGCAGAGACACAGGCAGAGGGAGAAGCAGGCTCCATGCTGGGAGCCTGATGTGGGACTCGATCCCAGGTCTCCAGGATCACGCTGCGGGCTGAAGGCAGCACTAAACTTCTGAGCCACCCCGGCTGCCCTTGACCATTTAAGTTTGAATTCCAGCTTGCTCTCTGACTCTGAGCAAGTTACCCAACCTGTGTTTTCTTTACTTGTCAAGTAGGAATATTAGTCGTATCTCTTTTAGTGTTGATGCAGTGATTAAATTTATCAATATAAAGTGTTTAGACTAGAGCCTTGTATAAAATTTTAGATAAATACTAGATGCATTTTCAAACACAAAAACCTGGGTGTAAAATTTAAACACCAGCTTTAAGACAGTCTCTGTTGAAGCCTTCCTGTTCCAAATCCAAACCAAATTGAAAACTTCTCTAATGAAGTCTTTCCTACATTTCCAAAACCTGAGTTTCACTGAGTTTCCAATAATAAAAAAAAAAATCTGTTTGTTTTTTTGTTTTTTAAAGAGCAACAAAAAGGAAAACAGTCCATTGCTTTGCTTGTAAAATTCAAATTCTTCTGCAGGCCAACTGCATTGACTCCACAGCCTCTGCTGAGGCTGTGTTTGCCTCTGAGGTGAAGAAGATGCAGCAGGAGAACATGAAGCCCCAGGAGCAGTTGACCTTAGAGCCCTACGAAAGAGACCACGCTGTAGTGGTGGGTGTGTACAGGTGAGCAGGGGCCGGCAGCCCACCGGGACAGAGCCCTGCCAGTCAGCACTTGGAAGGAGTGCCCCAAATGGTGACAAGCTCTGAATCTTCTATCTCCTTCCTCTCACAGGCCACCTCCCAAGGTGAAGAATTGAAGCCCGGCGCCATCTGGATTACCAGAGATTTGTGTTGCTACTGTTACACGTGTTTTTCTATTAAAAGACTCATCCAGGGGCACCTGGGTGGCTCCGTCACTTAAGCCTGGGCCTCTTGATCTCAGCTTAGGTTTTGATCTTAGGGTCGTGAATTCAACCCGGCCTTGGGCTCCTTGGGCGTGAAACCTATTTAGGAAAAAAAGAAATTCATCGCTCCTGTATGCTGATCAGAGACCTCCGTTCAACGGTGCGCATGCGCCGTTTTTCAACTGACGCGGTGGTGGGGGTGGACAGGCTCATCCGGTCCCTCGTGCGCATGCTCCTCCCTTGGCTGCTTTTTGCGCAGCCGTAACCCGGCTTCCGGCGCCTGGGCGGGGCTGATAGTTTACGGTGCATGTCTGCCGGTAGACCCTGCTGCGCGCAGGCGCAGAATGTTACCCTGGGTCACGTGGGGGAAGCGAATGGGGGGGTGGGGGTGGAGCCCGGGGCGGGGGGGCCGGTTTGTTGTGGTCGCCATTTTGCTGGTTGCATTACTGGGTAATCGGGCCCTGGCTCGCCGCGTCCGTCGGATACCTTCAGCCAGTGGGCAGGTCTGAGCTCGGGCTTCCCGAGCAGCTTGAGTCCCCTTGCCCGCGCCCTCAGGTAACAACGCGGCTATAGGTGGGGCGGCACGAGCTCGCGGGGAGGGGGCAGTACGGGCCCGCCCTGCCCGCGTCGCCGCGAGACTTAGCACGAGGCCGAGGGAGCAGAGCAGGGGGGCGGCGGGCAGGTGTAGGCCGTGCCTGGCTATTCATAGTCGGATTCTAGGAAGTGGCCGAGCCTGAGGGAGCAGCCATGGGAGGGCGGCTGGGAGGGGGTAGCGGGGCCCCGCTCCCGCCCTTTGTTTGGGCTCGGCTCCTCCGGCTGCATCGTCGTCGCCTAGCAACAGCTGTTCTGAGCTGCGATTGGCTGAGCTCTTGGCAGCAGCGACCAATGGCACGGTTGTTGCCATGGCAGGTGCGGACTGCCAAGCTCAGGCCGGCCCCGCCCGCCGGGCTCCGCCGACCGGGGCGGGCCTCCAGGGTGGGGGGTGGGACGCCTGGGTCCCCAGGGGCGGGTGGCTGCACGGGGCGGGGCCGGCGGGGCGAGGGTTAACCCGCCCCTCCCCCGTCCACCTGCTTTCCCCTTCCCCCGCGTGCCCCGGGCTGACCCTCCTTCCCTCCTCTCCCCGCCCCCGGCGGCGGCGGCTGCTGTTGTCACCCACCGGGCCGCCTGTCCCGCTTGCCCTCCCCGCCGCGGGGCTTGCCGGGCCGGCCGGGCCGGGACAGGCGGCCGTCTCCTCTCTGCCGCCACCGCCGCCATGCTGGCCGCTCGCCCACCCCACTGGGGGCCCCACCGCGCCCCAGCCCCCCGTGGGCCCCGCGCCAGCCCTGACCCGGGTAGGGGGTGGGTGCTGGGAGAGACGGTCCTGCTGTGGGAGGGCCCCAGGGAAGAGGTTGCTTCGGGTGAGGGGCGGGGGAGCTCCAAGAGAGAGGAGGGATCGTGGAGTGGCAAGGCTTGGCATAGGAGAAAGGGATTTTGACATGGGAGAAGGCCTGTGGGGAGAGGATTTTGGTGTGGCAGGTACTCTGGGAGGGGAGAACTCTATGTGATATTCGGGGATTTTGGTTTCTGGGGGCCTTCTAGGAATGGCACAGGTGTGGATTGACCCTGGTGTAGAGAGGAGTAACTGGAGAAAGAGCCCTGGTAGGAATATTGGATGGGGGGAGGAGGGAAAGATACAGTGTAGGGGAGAGAAGGGCGAGGGAAGAGACAGCTCCTCCTTGCTCCCATCAGAAAAAGTGAGCCTTGATTGGGAGGGGGACCACGGACTAATATGGGGAAGAGCCCTTTTGTGGCACAGAGAAACTATCTGGTGGGGAGGGTCCCTGATGTGAGAGGAAATGGTATAAGGTCTTGGCATGATATGGGAGGGTCCCCTGGGAAGGGGGTGCCCTGATGGATGAGAATGCCATAGGGGTAGGAATTTTTTATATAGGGACAACTCTGTATAACAGGATAACCTTGGTATGCTCTCCAGGACCCTGATGTGGTTTTAGGGGCCTGCAGAAGACTCTGCTATGGGTGTGGAGGGGGCCCAGAGTTCTCTTGTGGTTTGGGGGGAGGGGAATCCTAGACTTCTCTAGGATCTACTGGGAAGGATAGATCTTGAAGTGAAAGGACCTTGCTGTGATAAGAGAGGTGATCCTGACAATCAGGGAAGACTGCAGGAGGGCAGGATCTGGTGTGAGGGGGCCCTGGGGAGGGCCATAAATAGAAATGGGAAGCAAACCTATACTGTCTGTGGTTTCTATCTTTTTCTTCTCTTTCTCATCCCAATTATTGGTGTCTTTTTGTCCTTTCTTGTCATGGCCTTTATCCCTGCCTGGCTTCCAATTATTCCCTTTCACGTGTTCCCCTTTTTGTGCCACCTACTTCATTTATTTGGTAATCATTTGTTGAGGGACTCTGCTGTGCCCCCACCCCCACCCCACCATTTTTCACTGTCCCCTTTCTTCATTGCCACCTGTTGTCCTTTTTCTCCTCTCCCTATGCCCTACCTCTCTCTGGTGTCCACCTCTTTCCCACCTGTCCCACACATCTTCTTGTTCCATGTTGTTCCCCTGCCTCCCGCCTGCTCTCAGGTCTCAGCGGCGGTGGCAGCCGAGGTGCAGGATGCGAGAAGGCGCCCCCCGGCCGGGCTCCCGCTCCAGGCCTCGCTCCCTTGCGGCCCTCTGAGCCCACCATGGCCGTCCCACCGGGCCATGGTCCCTTCTCTGGCTTCCCGGGGCCCCAGGAGCACACGCAGGTATGCGTTCAGCTGGCTCCTCACATGCCTGGGGTAGGGGGAGGCTGGGGATAGAAGGGTCTTGGGGCCAAAAGATCATTTGGTTGCCCAGAGCAGTCTCCTGGGGCCAAGAAAAGCCCATCTGGAGTGGAAGATAATAGAGAAGTTGGTGGCAGAGACTGTTTGGATAGCCTGGGTTCAAATCCTGACACGGGGTTAAATTACTTAGGTTCTACCTGCTTCAGTTTTCTTTCTCTTAAAATGAAGCCAAGAATGATAACTACCTCGCTGCATTGTTGTGAGGTTAAGCAGTTAATGAAATGCATGTAAAATGCTGAGAATAGTGCCTGGCACCTAGGAAACACCCAGTAAATGTTAACTAAGGAAAAAAGGTCCAGAGTGAAAGATGGGCAGTTGGGGTGCAAGGGGGAGAAGTCTGAGTCCAAAGGATCCTGGAGCCAGCAGCATCTTACACTACAGAGTAAAGATATTCAGGGGTGGAGATTGTCAAGGCTCTGAAATGTAGAGCTTGAAGCAGGTTGGAATAGGAGGTCCAGGGTGCTGGCTCCCAAAAGACTGGGGCAAAATGTGCAGAGTTGGGGGTAAAGGATAGGAAGATACCACAGGATAAGGGTAAAGCAAGATGGCAGCCGTCAAGATGGGACACCCAGAATGATGGTTTCAGGCAAAGGATTGGGAAGGGCAGAGCCTATGTTTTCTATCTGATCTCTCCCACGGAGGTTCAGAAAGGATTAAAGGTGTAGGATGAAAGGTCAGGAGAAAATAGTTCACCATTCATTCACTCGGCAAATCTCTGATGACCACCGACTATGTGCCAAACGCTACTTGGCACTGCAGATACAGCAAGAACAAGACAGTCTCTGCCCTTGGGGAATTTCTATCCTGGTTGGGTTGTCACACAGTGATCAAGTAAAATGTGTGTATGGTAATAATGACCCGGCCACCCAGAGAGTTCTCCCTAAGGTTGTCTAGAGGTAAAGGCCTATCCTCAGTGCCCATGCCGCACCCCCCCACCCCCACCCTGACTCACCCTGCAGGTATTGCCTGATGTGCGGCTGTTGCCACGGAGGCTGCCCCTGGCCTTCCGGGACGCGACCTCAGCCCCACTGCGCAAGCTCTCCGTGGACCTCATCAAGACCTACAAGCACATCAATGAGGTGGGCGGGGGACCCAACTAGGTGCTGAGGGGTCCTGGCAGCTGGCACAGGGCACTCAGCAATCCTTATCTTCTGGCTGGCTGGGCAGGTATACTATGCGAAGAAGAAGCGGCGGGCCCAGCAGGCGCCACCTCAGGACTCGAGCACCAAGAAGGAGAAGAAGGTCCTGAACCATGGTTACGACGATGACAACCATGACTACATTGTGCGCAGTGGTGAGCGCTGGCTGGAGCGCTATGAGATTGACTCACTCATCGGCAAAGGCTCCTTTGGCCAGGTGCGGGATGCCCCCCTTCCACCCTGACCCAGGGATAGAGAGGCATGGGCATCCACTGATACTGACCCACAAAGGAGTAGTGCCCTGTTCTGTGCCCTGTCCCCTTCCCCCGCATTTCCTCACTTTGTAACATGCCCTGCCCCGGCAGGTGGTGAAAGCCTATGATCATCAGACCCAGGAGCTGGTGGCCATCAAGATCATCAAGAACAAAAAGGCCTTCCTAAACCAGGCCCAGATTGAGCTGCGGCTGCTGGAGCTGATGAACCAGCATGACACAGAGATGAAGTACTATATAGGTGAGGCCTGGGGCAGCAGTACACCCAGTACAGTACTGGGTCAGTGTCTTCAGGGCAGGGGCTGGTCTGGAATCCCCTGACATCAGCGATTCTCCTGCTGCCTTAGTGATTGTTTCCCTATTCCCATGATGGCTTTGGTCACAGTGTATTGGGTGCTCGCTAAGGGTCAGGCCCTGTTGCAAGCACTTTCCCTGATTTAACTGGCTCCAGTCTGACCACAGCTCTGGGGGGAGGGGGCACCTTGGCCCACAGCTTGGAGACGACGACAGAGGCATTCACGTGCTATCACTTGCATAAAGTCACAGCATTTGTACTCAGAGGGGCTATAATTTCACCAGGCAGTGGGCTCCCAGGCCTATAGTCATAACATCTGTATCAGTCTTTTCCTCTTTCCCATACTGATTCTTAGAAAAGGCAAGTGGATTGAAAAAGTGTGTTTCTGTAAATACACATCCTTACCCTAAATGGAAAACGAGTGTCCCCCGCCACAAAAATAAATAGAACTGAGACTAAAACAATGTTACAAAATTAAGTGTGAAAATGTAGA